AGCGCACACTGATCTCCTTGGAGCACCACAAACACACAGTACTTCAGCTTCCTCCTTGCCTTTAATCACTTCCTTATCAGGAATGGCTTCCATTTAGCTTTCTTAACTTCCCTAGATTCTGAGTCTTCAAGGCTCATCTCAAAGTATACTTCTCCATGAAGACTTTTCCTAATTACTTTATCCTTTATTCATTACTTCATTCTTAGACCTCTTGGTTTCATGGTCTTATATTAAGGTTTCTCAACCTTGACACTATTCATATTTTGGGTCATAATTCTTTGCTTTGAGAAACTGTCCTCTGCACTGCAGAATGTTTAGTAGCATCTTTGGTCTCTAGCCAGCAAATGGCAGTAATATTACTCAGGAACTGTTAGAAATACAGATTTTTCAGGCTCCACTGCATTCTACTGAATCCAGAAACCATGGTGGCAGGGCCCAGCAATCTGTACTTTAACAGCTTCCACATGATTCTAACGCATGCTCAAGTTTGAGATACACTGTCTCAGTAGATTGCAAGTTTTTTTTTGTAGGAAAGAACTATTGTTGTCATTGTGTTGTTGACTTGTATAATGGCAAATTTATGCTTATTGGTCAGTAATTGCAACGCTTAATCTTTTTAAGATAGCCTTAGCTGGGCCATTCTAAGAGATGAGTACTTTCTACATGTTTATGAAAAAGAATACTAATTGGGAAGAGGATTTGAATTGACATGAGACTACAAAGGGCAGTCAAGTGGGACATATACTTTGATTCAATAAGAAGAAATCAATTTTAGCAATAAGTGCTGCCTGAAAGTGGAGAGGACCTTGTGAAAGGTACTGAAGGACCTGTCTCTTGGAAGTATTAAGTGGGGCTTGGTTGTCATCCAAGGTGAAGCTTTCAGTTGTAATGCAGGACAAGGAGAGTGGCAGATCTATACCCTTGAGTGTCTTTTCCAGGCATTGTGTGTTGACTTTTCCTTTTATCTTTTTTTCCCCTATGGCATTTAGCCCTGATCTTCATTGATAGATACTTGGTAGTTTCTGGAATTCAGCAGTTTTCCTGCATATATGGTCTTAGGAGCTGACACTTGCATTTCCAGTGTAGGATTCTTTGTTGTGTAGCTCTCTACTGTCTTTTTGGAAACAGCTCTTTGTGATCACTTTGACAGGAGTTTCTCTTAATACATGCTTATTCTCAGAAAGAAGTTACGTTTCACTCTTGTTGTGAAAGCTATTGTCTAGATCTGGCCTGTTATGTTCTTCTTTTGGCATGAACAGAATGGAGGGAGTTTCTGTGATGGGTTTAAATAAGGAACGTTTGCAACTTAAACCTTAGAAAGAGATCTCACATGAAACTGGTTGCCTGCCACAGGAGTAACTTAGATGTCTTTACCTTCTTGTCAGGAGGCTGGAACAGAGATTTCTATGTTGGGTATGAGATTAGATTGGATGACTTTTAGGGGCTCTTCTGACTCTCTGCCTTTCAAGTTTTGATCAGAAGTCCCAGCTCCTTTTCTCAAGAATTAGATTTAATCTAATCCTAACTCTAATGATGGCACATAGTAGGTGCTCAAGAAATCTTGACTTAGTAAAATGAATTTGTAAAAAATCTTCATGGTATCCTTTTTTTTTTCTCTTGCAGTTAAAAGAGCCAAATTCCAGGGTTCACCAGGTAAGGCCAGCCTTCTACTCTTATGTCCTCCCTATACTTGCTGTGATTTAAAAGCAATCTTTAAAAAATCATTAATTTCACTTAATCCATTGATCAAATTCAGTAATTTAATTAATTCATGAAATTTTTAATTAAAATCAATGCTCTCATAAAACGTTAAAGTATGTATATCTGTATCTGTCTATCTAGTGAAAAGTTAGTCTCCTTACCTCTTGGCCAACCCATTTCTACTTCTCAAAAGTAACTATATATTTAGAGCTTTTTATCTGTCTTTTCAGGCTTTTTCTGTGTATATATACATATATACAAATGGATCACGCAACATATATCTTTGTGCAATCTGCTTTTTTCCCCCGACAATACTTCATGAAAGTCTGTGTGTGTGTGTGTATGTGTGTGTATGTATGTATGTGTATCTGGTGCTTTCTTTTAAGGTGCTGTATAGAATTTTGTTGTAGAGTAGTACCGTAGGTCCCTGATTGATGAATATTTAGGTTGTTTCCAAGTTTTTGTTATTAATAAGCAATAAATGTTCTTGTGCATTTATCATTGCCCACTTTTGCAAATGTTATCTTTATATTAGAGTCCAGAAGTAGAATTGCTGGGTCAAAGGTATATGTTTTTTAAAAATTTGGTAACTGTAGCCAAATTACTCTTCTGAAAGTTTTTGATAGATTATACTGAGACCAAAAGTGTATGAGCATTTATTGTCCCAAATCCTTATCAACATGAGATTATGAAACTTTTAAATCTTTGTCTATCTGAAGATGAAAAATATCTCCTGATTTTAATATGCATTCCCTTAATTGTGAATGTCACATTAGGAAGAGTTACTCTGGTTATTGCTGGGGGAAAAGGGAAGGGGACTGTAAGTTACTGGAAAAACATGAACATGCTTGGGGATTGAGGCAAACCTGAAAGACTGTACCTTGGGTGCAACAGGCACTAAAGCAGTTTCTGAACATGCTTCTTTCTCTAGTGGCTCTGGGTTAGGGCTTCTCTTTGTTCTGAGAATCTGCTCTGTTCTCCTGTCTCTCCCAGCTGGCTTTCTTTGCTTATCCATCTTGCACAAGACCCATAATAGCTGCTCCAATGGAATTTATATGTCCTTCCTTCCAACTTCAGCATTAACCACCAATTGTCAATATTTCTCCCCCACCCATTAAAATCATTTGAGAGAGAATCAGATTTATCTCAGTTTTTGGCCAGCCCATGGATTGGCTGCTCTTGGGTTGTATATACCCTTTATCTGGTCAGCTGTGTATGATCAGACATGGAGGGTGAAGGACAAGATCATATGATACAAACACAGCTCAGTGGTCTATTGCACTACTACCGGATATGGATGGGGATTCCCCTCGTGTGGGCTTTTATCATGTATCTTTAGTATAATAAATTGTGTCAATAAGTATAAAACTACACAATTTTTAGTGATATTTAAAAGAAAGATTTACCTTCTGGTGGAAGTTTGTGATAAGGGCCCATTTTCTCACATCTTCTCTAACATCAGGTAATCATTTTAGGCAATATTTGCCAGTTTGATGAGTCAAAAATGATAGTTTGCTATTTTTTCATTTTGTAAAATTATGACTAATTTCTTACATAGAAAAACAAACCCTCAATTCAGTGTCCCTAATCATGGCTGATGTGAATTTAGTAGGGTGAGAGCCAAATGTGCTGTATTAAGTATTATCCTGAGCCTTGGGTTCCAGGCTACCACATGTCATTTAGTACTCAATTTATACTCTCAGGTTAGAGAATTTCCTGTTCTCAACTCTGTGATAAAATTTCTTTATATGTAACTTGTGCTTTAGGCCAAACTGAATAATAGATCAAGCTTGAAATCTATTTCCTTTCTAAGGATTTTTCCTTAATTCTTGTCCCTGTCAACAGCTCTGCAGTTCTTTACCACTTTTTATTTTTCCCTTGTGGTACTTATCTCGTTGTACATTTTATTAGATTTATGTATCTTATCTTTCCTACTGGGTCAATTAGATTAGGTTTTTTTAGACTGTAGGTGGGCTATAAAGTCAATTTAGTGTGTTATGACTAAAGTTTTATTAGATTAAATAAATCAGAATAGGAAATATCAATGTATCACATCCTGTATTTCATGAAGCTTTTGTGTGTGTGTTTCTACTGGATCATATGTAAAATAGCTTTCTTAAAATTTCAAAAACACAAAATTTGAAAAATGCTATGTTAGATTATGCTCTTGAAGATAATGTGTAGTTTTATAATTTTGCAACTCTGCTATGTCTTGAATGAGGCTATGTTTAATATATAGCTTCATTTTTTCCTGTGCATGGATTAATAATACTTTAACTTGGATATTACTTAATTCCAACGGTTTTATGAGACTGGATGACAATCTGAGCACTAAGTATTATATCTTCATTTTGCATTTTTTCAAAGATAAATTTAACACATATGTGACCCTGAAAGTACAGAATGTGAAGAGCACGACCGTAGCAGTTCGCGGTGATCAACCTTCCTGGGAACAAGATTTCATGTTGTAAGTATTTTGTAGCAGCAGCAGGGTGCCTACATATTCCATAATTTTTCTAAGGTAATTGCATTAGATAAAACAATCAGAAGACTTGATTTCTATGATTTATAAAATGTGCTAGCACTGTTAAATATTCTTTTTGAAAACTACAGAGTTATAGGAACAAGTGAGGTGTGTGGTAGGTGAAGTACATCTGCAGTTTTCTCTCATGAATTTATAATCTGTTCTTATAGATGAATGATGAATGCAAGTAAACTCCCAATTAATTTGAGTGGGTGAAAATACTACATAGTCAGATTTTCTCAGTGATCAGAATTAGGATATAGTATGATATTAAACATAACTTCATTTTTCTTTGATTCTCAGAAGCTCCTTGAAGGAATGTGGCCATGCATGTGAGAGACTGTATGTTTGTTATGTACCTAAGTCATCTGCTTTAGAAGATGAAGATTTCTGTGCTTATAATCCTTTTGCTTTATGGGATAAAATGTCCATGTTCAATTAATTAAAATGAGTAAACACTAGTAGAATTTCTTTGTTAAAGACAGGGTCTCAGTATGTTGCCCAGGCTAGTCTCAAACTCCTGGGTTCAAACAAGCCTCCTGCCTCAGCCTCTCAAAGTGCTGGGATTACAGGCGTGGACCACTTTGCGCAGCCAGAATTTCTTATATATAACACAAAATTAGTATATTATGATTTTAAACTCTGGTGTAAAAACTTGACATTTGCCTCTCTGGCACCCCTGACTTTCAAGAATTTTTTTTTTGTTCCTGCTGTAGAAAAGGGGAGAAAAGTATAAAATATCATATTGAAGGACTGGACTAATCACTTAGCTTCTCTGAGTGCCAGTTTCCGTATCAGTAAAGGTCTACCTTTCTTACAAGGTTATGCTTATACTTTTGGGAGTAAGAGGTAGATGTGAAGGGGTCTGATGAGAAAATGTACAGAAATTGCTGTGAAATTTTAAACTGAACTGAAATTGCTTTGCAAGCTTTATAATGTGGCTCAAAGAGACATAGGGATGATTATTGTTTTTATGGGGAAACTTTCCAATCCTCTGGCCTTTTAATATATTTCTTCTTATACTACCACTTAGGAAGCTTTATTGTAATAGTTACAGGCTAAGATTTTGAGGGCTTGGCTAAGACAACAGCAGAAGAGAAAGAAAAGGATAAGTAGAAGATGTTAAAGGAAGTAGAAGCAAAAGATTTGTATGAATGATTGGATGAGTGGTATGCCACTCATCAGGGTAGGGGCTAATATAAGATCAGTTATGGACAAACTTATATTTGAGATTCTTACGATGGCAGATAGGAAGAGAAGTACAGAAGATAGAAACCTGAATGGGGCACTCAGTGAAGGATTCTGGTTTGGAGAATAATTTGGTTAGTTGAAGCTATAGGCATAGATGAGAAGGCTTAGAGAGTGAATGTATATGGTGAGAAAAGGGACTGGGGTGGAACCTGGAGAACACCAGCATTTAATGAAGGGACAAAGAGGAACTAAAAAAGAATGAGCATAGAGGTAGAAGGGCCAGGAGATAATGGTGTCATGGAAGCTGAGGGAGAACTGGGGCTTCAAAAAGAAAGAGGCCAATGTTGTCGCACTTCTCACTGGTTGCCTCTCTTTCAAGATTATATAAGCCTCATTTACCCTCTCTGTTACAGTGACGTGAGAATGAGACTACTTGTTCCCTTCTTTACATACTAGTGTGCAGAGTCAGCTATGAATAGTTTATACAAATCTCTTCCCATACCACTATGTTAGCTATAGTCCTGGCTGTGGTATGTAAACCTAGCAATCCTCCTCTCTTCTGACTTCTAATTATAACTGTTCCCAGAATGTCGAGCACAGTGATCTTCTGTAGCCTCTCATCAGCATAGTTAGCATTATTTTTATGTTTTTATTTTTCTATTTCCCACAGTATTTCCCCTTTAACCCTGCTGTGATATGTGTGCATTTTCTGCCATGTCTCCCACTTTGAGATGCTATGTGAATTTCGCCCTCTCCCCTTATACACAGGGGTTTTATTAGTTAACTTTCTCTACCTTTCTGCTCCTCCTATTCCTTATTTCTCCTGCCAGTTTCACTGGCAACTCCATTGTTGGTCTCCTGTCTCTCTTTCTTCCTTTTCCTTCTCCCTGAGGTGTTACGTGGCAGTATCTAATATCCATTTTTGTATTTTTTATATTATGCATCTTTAATATTTCTGTATCTTATTTCCAGGACTAGATTGTTCATTTCTTAGTGACAAGAAGGGAATTTTCATTAATTGGTGTGAATTTGCTTAACTGAAAATCTTGTATACACATGTGCACATATACTCTTGATTGAGTTAATTAACAGAAAAGAAACTTCTCCAGAGCCCTAGTGATGAGGCATAAACAGAGTTCTCAGATTTCTTAGTTGGGCCTGCTGAGCAAATGTAGGTGAGAAGAGAAGCTTCTTATAGAAGATATACTCATTTTTCCTCCCAGTGTTATTGAGATATAATTGGTATACAAAAAACTGCATACAATTGACATATACAATTTGGGTATATGTGTATACTTGTATTACGATCACTATAATCAAGGTAATAAACATATCACCTCCAAAGATTTCCTGGGTCTCCTTGTTTTTGTGTGTGTGTCATAAGAACACTTAACATAAAATTTACCCTCTTAACAAATTCTTAAGTGCACAATACCTTATCGTTACCTGTAGGCACCATGTGGAACAACATGTCTCTGGAACTTATATAACTTTAGCAAAGACATTTTTCTATGGATACCTTACATAGGTTTCTAAGAACTTAAAGAATGGTTATAGCATTCTGGGACGTTCTGATTTTCCCTGAATGATCCTGGTGAGAAAGCATTCAAAGTTTAACAAAACAGATGTAGCTGTTTCTTTCATATTATCTAGCTTTCCTGAAAGGGCTTTCTTCTTTCCTTTAGTGAGATTAGTCGCCTGGACCTCGGTCTGAGTGTGGAGGTATGGAACAAAGGATTGATCTGGGACACCATGGTGGGGACCGTGTGGATTGCACTGAAGACTATTCGTCAGTCAGATGAGGTCAGTCAGTGCATTGCCTGTTTGGAGGTATGGTTCCTAGCCCTTGTTTCTCTCTGTGCTAGTTCCACTTTAGCTAATATTCATACATGCAGCTCAGATTATTCTATTCTACCCCTTTTCTAATAAGAGGGCATACCACCTGCCTATTCCTAACTTCAGCCAGAGGTTCAGAGATTTTTTTTAAGTCTGGTCTTCCCTATGTCCTATCACTGAACTCAGAGGTTCCAGAGCACCTATTCAGCCTTATCAGGTAGGTAGCCTCTTTGAATAGAATGTGTGTGTGTGTTTATGTAGGGTATTTGTGGTTTCTGCATTCTCCTCTAGCACATGTCCCTGGCAGGAGTCCCATTAGACTTCCTTAGTCAACTGTCTGGATCCTATTCTCTGCTTTGTTTCTTTGACCAATCTCCAGGGAACTTATTTCAGTCCTCTTCTTCTACATGTAACCCTAACAGAGTTTAAGGAACTACCAGGCCTAGCAATTGGTATTCACCCTGTCTCTGTACATTATTTTCGGTATTGAACTCCCACCTCATTTTATCAGACTAGAGCATAACTCAGCATCATTTCCCCATAGATACTCACTTTGGACCTGGACAAAATCTATTATATTTCTATTTGGCTTTAATGTGGACCATGAGTTTTCTCTGGGAGTGGGGAAGTTGAAGGTGTTGCTTCTATTTTCTATATTTCTTTTAGTTCTGGCTAAGTCTCTACTCTCTCAGGAAGATGGGCAGCTCATTTTCATTGCAGCCCCAGCTCAATTCTATTTAATCAGCAATGTTTAGTAGCTCTTTACTGATTAGAAGCAGTGACATACATCATTAGGTGACAAAGTCATTAAGAATTGCGCAGATTAAATATTGATCTACAGAGGTGCTTAGTTTCAGAGTTTGGTACTCTGGAAATTCTGTCCTCATTGTACCTCCAGAGAGCTGAACATGGTGAAAGCTGCTCTCCCCACCAAAGAGGGAGAACATAACCTACATGCAGCAGGGGCAGGTGGTGACAGTGGCATGTTTGACTTGTCAGGATGTGAGTGGTCCTCAGAAGCTCTCAAACAAGGAACTTCAGAGAAAAACACTTGGCTCTTGAACAAAGAGGGAAGCCAAGAAAGATTAAAGTTTAATATTAGATCTTTGTTTCCTAGGAAGGGCCTGGGGAGTGGTCCACATTGGAGGCAGAGACATTAATGAAAGATGATGAGATCTGTGGAACTAAAAACCCAACTCCTCATAAAATTTTGCTTGATACAAGATTCGAGCTGCCTTTTGGTGAGTCTGATTAGATTTTAAAAGCCATCTAATACTTTTTACCATATTGTTGCTAGTTGTCTCATTAATGTGTATTTTGTCTCCTCAGCCATCTCCTTTGAGGATATTCTGTCTTCACTCCCTTCCCCATAACACCTAGCCCAGGGCATGGTACAAAGTAGACTATAAAATAGTGCTCACTAAAGGATCCACACTAAAAAGCATTCTCTTCAACTCACTTAGTTTTCTGTGACTATTTATTATAATGACTTATGAAATAACTGCTTGTTAGATTTATTCTTTTGAAAATATTTTAACATTTATTGTCTTGAAGTGAATCTATTTTATGATTTAATTTTTTTGAACTGATAGAATATAATTTGTTAATTTAAATATTAAGTAACACTGATAAATAGAATAGTAATTTAAAAAATCACAAATTACATGCTTGTGGTAACAATTCAAATAGTAAGGACATACATATGGATAAAAAGTTAAGGTTCTTTTCCTTTCTCCTTTAATTTCCTTTGCATTGCCCAGAGGTAAATCACTATTAACTTTCTTGTGTCTTGGTTTAGACACATGACATCTGTTATTTTCTTTTTCTTTCTTTCTTTCTTTTTTTTTTTTTTGAGACAGAGTCTTGCTCTGCTGCCCTGGCTGGAGCATAGTGGCCTCGTCATAGCTCACTGCAACCTCAAACTCCTGGACTCAAGCAATCCTCCTGTCTCAGTCTCCTGAGTAGCTGGGACTGCAGATGTGAGCCACCATGACCGGCTAATTTTTCTGTTTTTAGTAGCGATGAGGTCTCTTGCTCAGGTTGGTCTCAAACTCCCCAACCTCAAGTGATTCTCCAGCCGTGGCCTCCCAGAGTTGACTTCTATTTGGTAGAAATTTATTTTGGCAAAATTTGGATCGTACTCTATATACTATATATAGTGTTTTATAAACTACTTAAACATTTATTGTGAACATTGTTCCATGTTATACTTTAAGATCTGTCTTAGCCAGGCAGTAGCACACTCCTATAATCCTAGCTACTGGGTAAGCTGAGGTGGGAGGATGCCTTGAGCTCAGGAGTTCAAGATCAGCCTGGGCAACATAGCAAGATGCCTATCTCCACAAAAAAAAGAAAGAATAAAATCTTTTTTGCTGATTTGAACAGATATATGTACCGTAAATTATCTAAGTAATCCTTTATTGATTGACATGTAGGTTGTTTCTAGTTTTTTTGATTATTACATACTGCTGTGACTAACAACTTTGTGTATCTTCACCTATTTTATTCTAGAGTGAATTTCTTAAAGTAGAATTGCTGGGTCGGAGGGTATGTGCATCATTACTTTTCATGGATATTGCAAAGTTGCTTTTCACAAAGGTTGTACCAATTTATGGTACTACCAGCTATATCTGAGGGGTGTCTGCTTCTGTTCATCTTTGCTAATATTTTATATTTCCCAATTTTTAATCTTTATCTAATTGATTTAAATATTATCTTGTTTTAGTTTAGTCGAATTCTATTTCATTTTTTATTCACATTATTGATATTTGCACGTTCTATTGTTATTGCTGCTGTTTTATGGTTTCAGTTTATTTATGTCTTGTATCCTATGGTGATTTAAGCAAAAATGGCATGATTTTTCAGCTAGCTCAGAAATAACTAAACTTGAAACAACTATTACTTCAGAAAAATAGAAAAGAAGACGTTCTTATTGGGACTGTAGGCCAGGTTGCAAGTGAAGAAGAATGTAAGAAGAATCATACAGTATTGTCTTTTTTTGTGATTGACTTATTTCACTTAGCATAATGTCTTCGAAGTTCATCCACATTATAGCATGTAACAGGATTTTTTTCCTTTTTAAGGCTGAATAGTGTTGCATTCTGTGTATATCTCTCATTTTGTTTATCCTTTCATCTGTTGATGGACACTTGGGTTGCTTCAGCTCTTGGCTATTGTGAATAATGCTGCTATGAACTTGGGTGTGCAAGTATCTCTTTGAGATCCTGCTTTCAATTCTTTTGTGTGTATGTGTGTGGGTATATATACACATACACACAAAAGTGGGATAGCTGGATCACATAATTTTATTATTTTTTTGGAAAACTGTGAACTTTGAGTATCTCAGTATCTTAGGGTCTAACTTTTCTTCTAAGCTAATCCTTTGGACTATTTTGTCTTGCTGAAGGGAAGGTAGTATTGTTACATAGAATATAGTTTTTGGAATCATGCTGACTATGGTTTGAAATGGCTCATCTCTTTATGAACTGAATGATCTTGGCCAGATTATTTAACCCCTCTGGGCTTTAAGTTCCTCATCTGCAAAATAGAACAATGGGAATAAGAGTACATTATATTGGTTTTTTGTGAAGATTTAAGATAATGCTTATGGCAAGAACCAAGCCACCTGTAAAATGTGTTGATTACCACCACCCTTCTGACTTGAGTTATTTGACTGAATAAAATGTTATCTGCTGATGATTGAACTATTTATTACCTGCTGATGTTTCTTCTTTTCTATGGTAGATATCCCAGAGGAGGAAGCCAGATATTGGACCTACAAATTAGAGCAAATCAATGCCTTGGGTTCTGACAATGAGGTAGGAACTTCCTTATTTGCAATATAGACAGATGGGAAAAATCTCTGATGCTCTTTATAGGTTGTCTGGGGTGAGGGGGCACTGCAGGGTAAAAGCATGTTGTCCTGAAGAAAGAAATAGTTTAAATTGCATTAAATAAAAAGGGCACCTAGAAGATTGCCTGAAATTTCATTAGAAGGCTCTATCTCCTACTTATCCTTTTTTCTCCTACTGTCCTCCAGTCTGGCACTGGTCTGGCTCTAGGCTACTGGGGAGGGTGCTTGTAACAGGGAATCTGTCCTCTTTTGTTACACACAGGAGCAGAGGGCATTTCTTCTGTTCCCTCCCAGATATTATCCTTATTTACGTGCTCTTTTTATGGATGTTTAGACTATTACAATTTTTGGTCTTGCTCCAGAGATGAATGTGGTGCATATAAGAGAACACAATGACCTCATCCTGAGGCATCAGAAAGGGAGAATGTTTTTATTATTGGTGGTGGAAGGAAAAGATAAGTTTATTTTTTGACATGTTGGGCTATTAAAAAATGGGTCTGATTATAAGGTAGAATTTGAGTGCTAGAAGATAGTTCAGTGGAAATGTTTGGTAAACAATTTCATGAGAGTCTGAAGCTGGTTGGATGGGGTAGGGAGCTGTAGGTATAGAGTATGGATTCATCAACATGTTGGTAACAGTTGAAGTTGTAGTAGTGGAGAAACTTGCTCAGGTAGAACATGTAGAGAGAGTATTGAAGAACAAGGATAAAACATTGAGAAACATTGCAATAGAATTCTGGGAAACAAAAGAGACTGAGAAAGAGCTCTTCCTTTGAGAAAGGAAGAGTAGAAGAACCAAGAAAGGTTCATGGAACAAAGAAAAAATTGATTCAAGCCAGAAATTCTCGATAGTATCATATGTTCAAACAAGATGAATTCTGAAATAGTCATTGGATTTGGTAATTAATGACCAATATCCATCCATCAACTAGTACAGAAAGCCAAAATGCAGTGGTTTGATGAGTGTATTAGTTTTCTAGGGCTGCCCTCACACAGTACCACAAACTAGGTAACTTACAACAACCGAAATTTATTTTCTTACATTTTGGGGGACTAGAAGTCTGTAATCAAGGTGTCTTCAGTTTTATCTAGAGGCTCTGAAGGAGAAACCATCCCATACTTTTCTCCTAGCTCTAATAGTTGCTGGCGGTCCTTGCTGTTCCTTGGCTTGTAGATGTATCATTCTAATCTCTGCCTCTGTTGTCACATACCTCCCTGTGTGTCTCTCTGTGTGTCTTCATAATTCATTCTCCTGTGTCTATGTCCAAATTTCCATTTTTCTTATAAGGACAGTAGTCATTGGATTAATTTGATTACATCTTCAGAGACCCTATTTCCAAATTGATAGGTACTTAGGGTTAGAACTTCAATATATCTTTTGGGGGGAACATGATTCAACCCACAGTGATTTAAACGAAAGATGAAGAAATGGAATTTGGGAGAAGTTGACAACTACTCTTTTCGGGATTTTCCCTTACCTCAACCAAATCCTCAGTAGCTTTCTATTATTAAGCTGCATAACCCTTCTCATACCCAATCCCAGCTTTTTTCTTCTTTGTTGAAAGCTCCAGTCTGTCTTCTCCACTTGATAACTGCCAGCATTCACTGTATCTTTGCGAGTAGTATACAGCCTTTCAAACTCCCATCATTGTTTTCCTAGTAAGGAAGCACATTGTACTTTTGATGTTATAGGCTTTACTGTATGTCATTATGCAGCAGTAGATGAAGGGATTAAAACAATAAAAAACAAATATAACTTATACAAATATTGCAGAGTTTTAAAAAGTTCTAAGAATGGTTCTTGTTCTGTGGGTCCCAACTCCCTATGGGATTTTTGCTTTTTGTTTACATTCTAAGATATGGAACTCACTATGTTTACATCTTTCATCCCCTCTTTCACCACCCTGTTTTTCTTTTAACAGCTTTATTGAAATAAAATTTATATATTTCATACATTGACTCATTTAACATGTACAATTCAATGGCTTTTAGTATATTCAGAGTTGTGCATCTATCACCACAAACAATTTTGAACGTTTTTATTACCCCATAAAGAAACCGTGTACCCATAACCATCACTCTCTGATCTCCCACCCCCACCTCCCCACATCCTCCTCAGCTCAGCCTAGGCAAGCACTAATCAAACTTCTCTCTCTCTGTATTGACCTATTCTGGACATTTTCTGTAAATGGAATTATGTAATGCATGCTCCTTTGTGCCTGTCTTCTTTCAGGTAGCATAATGTTTTCAAGGTTTCATCCATGTTGTAGCATGGATCTATCAGTACTTCATTCCTTTTTATTGCCAAATAACATTCCATTGTATGGATATACTACATTTTCTACTCATTCATCAGTTTATGGACAATTGAGTTGTTTATAGTTTTTAGCTATTATGGATAATGCTGCTATTTACATTTATGTACAAAATTTTGTGTGGACATGTTTTTTGTTCTTAGGTATGTACCTGGGAGTGGAATTGCTAGACCAGATGGTAACTCTATGCTTAACTGTTTAAGAGACTGCCAGACTTCATATTCCCACCAGCAGTGCGTAAAGGTTCCAATTTCTTCACATCCTTATCAGCACTTATTATTATCTATCTTTTTGATTATATCCATCTTAGCAGGTGTGAGGTAGTATCTCATTGTGATTTTCACGCCATTTAAAAACTTTTATGATAGAAATTTTCAAACATAAAAAAATATTGTTCTTCCCTCTTTTTGCTGGAGTATTTTAAAACCAATCCCAGGCATCACCTTGTCTCAACCATAAATAATATCAGTATACATCTCTAGCAGATAATGCCTTTAAAAAATAGCCACAATGCCATTATCACATTGAATTTAACAATAATTTCTTAATATCATGTTACCTAGTCTGGCTTCAAATTTCCTTTATTATCTCTAAGATGTTTTTTCACAGTTGATTTGTTCATTTCTTTCTTTTCTGTTTCTTTTTTGAGACAGGGTCACTCTGTCAACCCAGCTAGAGTGCAGTGGTATCATCATAGCTAACTGTAACCTCAAACTCTTGGGCTCAAATGATCCTCCTGCCTTAGCCTTCCAAGTAGCTGGAACCACAGGCACACACCACCACGCCTGGCTAATTTTTCTATTTTTTGTAGAGATGGGGTCTCATTCTTGCTCAGGCTGGTCTCAAACTGCTGACTTCAAGCAGTCCTGGCTGATTTGTTCATTTCAAAATCCAGACAAGATGTACACATTTGGTTATTATGTCTCTTAAATCATTTTAATTGTATAACTATTCCCCTTCTCTCATTTGTTTTGTAGAATTCTGCACATTCTGGATTTGGGTGATTATGTTCCCAGGTTTTATTTACCGTGTTCCTTTATCCCTATTACATCCTTTAAACTGATAATTACATCTAGTAGCTTGAGGATTAGATTGGGATTTAGACTGAAATTCATATTTTTGATAGGCAGTTGGTGTCTTATGCCACTTTTAGCAATGTTAAAATTCAGTAGTGGATTCAAGTGTTGTCAGCCTATTTCATTGATTATAAAGTTTTCTCATTAGCCTTTCACCTAATGGTTTTTAGCAGCAAATAATGATTATTTTTTATTAGGGTTTGCAAAATGATGATTTTCTACTTATCCTTCCAGCATTTGTTAGCTATGATTTGTCTACAAAAAAGAACTTTCTGGGCTGGGAATGGTGGCTCACCCCTATAATTCCAGCACTTTGGGAAGCTGAGGCAGGAGGATCGCTTAAGGCCAGGAGTTTGAAGCTAGCCTGAGCATCATAGTGAGAGCCCGTCTATACAAAAAATAGAAAAATTAGCCGTGTGTGCTGGCGCACGCCTGTAGTCCCAGCTACTCAGGAGGCTGAGGCAGGAGGGTCACTTGAGCCCAGGAGCTTGAGGGTGGAGTGAGCTATGACTTTGCCACTGCACTCTGCCTAGGCAACAAAGCGAGACCCTGTCTCCAGAAAAAAAAATAATAATTTTATTTGACCAGCTATTTGGTTCCCTTAAAATACAGTCTCTATGAGAAAAACATTATCAAGTTTTAGAATAACGAACTGTTGCCTCAGCAACTTCGCAAGCTGACCGATGAGTTGCTTTCTTTTTGTTAATGGGGTTATTATTATGAATTTGTGGATTTTGATTTATTTGATGTATGTATTTCAGTCCCTTGCAATCATTCTTTTTGATACTAAAATGGTCTCATCTTTGGTTAGTGGCAGCTTCTTCAATTTGGCTTCTGTGTCTTTTTTTCCTATTTTTGTCATGAAAATATTTTAATCACACATAAAAATGGGGTGAATAATAAAATGAAAGCTATACATATGCCCATTTCTAAGATTCACTAATTATCTAGATTTTGTCATACTTGCTGAAAAATTATTTTAAAAACGCAACATATATTTTTTCTCTTTTTATTCTTCAGTGTATAACATTTCCCATATGTAGCAGCCTGTTGGACCCAGGAGCCCTAAGTCAAGACTGACTTGAGCATCCACCACCTTACAGAGTTGGATTTTACCACACTTTATTATACTTTTCCTGCTCATGGACAATTAGGTTTTCACTATTATGAATGCATGTTGCAGTGAACATTCCTGAACCTGTTTCTCTATGCTTGTGTCTGAGAGATTCTCTGGGTATATACCTGGAAGTACAATTGCTTGGTTATAGAATATGCTCTATTCAGCCTTACTAGATATTTCTAAATTGCTCTCCAGAGTGATTGTATCAATTTATATTTTCCTTTTTCCTGCTTCTCTATATCTTACTGATACTTGATATTACCAGACTTAAAATTTTTGCTAAGCTAATGAGTGTAGAAATTGTTTTAATTTGTATTTCCCTGCTTTTTGGTGAGATTCATTCATCAGTCGTTTATTCATCAAATAAATTATTGAGCCCCAAGTACCAGGCATTGTTGTGTATTTGGTATACATTAGAGGTTAAAATAAAGATCCCTGCTCTTATGGATCATAT